TCAGACTTTACCCACTTCTCTAAAGCCTCGGTTGTTTGGTTGTGGGTCTTTAACAGAGTGATCCATTTTGATTTGCTCTGGCCTTAGCCTAGTGCAGAACTCCCATCATTTTGTCTCCCAGTGTGAAAGGCCTGAGGCTAGTTGTCTTTGTACCTCAGTACCCCAGACTAGGGCCAATAGAAGGCTTGCATTCAGCAGCTGTCAGTCAGAGGTGAATCACTGGGTGTGACCGTTGCTTCTGAATCTTTGCTTGCTTTGTGTGTTTTGAGTTTTCCCTGAACTGGAGCAATTTCTTCTGAACTGTGTCTTTGATATCCTGGAATGATAATTGGGTGTTTGGTCTTTGCTGTTTCTAGAAGTATGTCTAGAAATGATGGCTTTGGAATGCTGAACAAAACAAGCCTGAATTAGAAGGGCTGAAACAGGACATGTGCCTAGCTCGTGGTCACATAATACAGCTCCAGAACAAGATGGGGTGGAGGTGGGAGAAGAGAAAGGGAACTGAAAATCTTGGAGAAGACTCATTGGTATGTAAGCCTCTAAGCAACCTCAAGAGTTTTCTGGTGAATGACTTGCTTAAAGAGACTTTAGCTTATAGTTAAAAAGCCACGGGATTTGAACTGCAGATTCTGTGACATTAACTGAGTCCTACTTTCTGTGTGAGATCATACCTAAAGGGCTTTATTTGGATTGCTAAGGCCTTCAGCCTTATTCCTTGAGACCCTAGAAAAGTTCCCCAACTCTTCTAGCAAGCCAGAAAATGATGATTCATTTTTTGAGAAAATCCTGTGACTCAGAGGAATTTGACTCACAGGAAGGGAAATGTTTGAGCATCAAATATCAACAAAATTAATGTATAAAGAGCCAAAGCATATATATTTTAGGTTTTGTGGGTAAGACCATACTGAGCTTAATGGGTTTGTGTCTTTGTAAACATAAAGTAAAAAAAAAAAAAAAAACCCAAAACATGCCCAGTGCCAGTGGCTCATGCCTATAATCCTAACTACTCAGGAAGCTGAGATATGAGGATCACAGTTCAAAGCCAGCCCGGGCAGGAAAGTCCATGAGACTCTTATCTCCAATAAACCACTAGAAAACTGGAAGTGGCGCTGTGGCTCAAGTGATAGAGCACTCGCCTTGAGCTGAAGAGCGCTGGGATAGCACCAGGCCCAGAGTTCAAGCCCCACGACTGACAAAAAAAAAAGCCTAACCTGTTCAGATAGGAAAACCCTTTGGGAGTGGCTGTGTTTCTGCACATGCTCTGTTTAAAGCCTGTATGTTTCCGAGCATACTCAGTTGAGGCCATAGTTCAGAAAGGGAAGATGGCAGACAGATTTTTGCATGCTCAGCTCCAGGTCATAATGCACAGTTTTAAAGGATGAAAATGACAGGACAGGAACACTTCTAGGCACATTAGTTTGCATTTCTGTTGTTTTGTTTTTCCAAAAACGTTTAGCTAAAACAAAAGGAAACTTTGAAATCACCCAAATAAGGGACCTGTCACATCTAGTGGCTAAATATTTTTTCTTATAACTTTCCTCGCAGTTCAAAAGCACTCATGGACAAATGTGATGCAAGAGACCTGGTTCCAATAAAACTTTATTTATAAACACAGATAGCAGACAAACTCTAAGGGCCTTAATTTGCAGTCTGCATCTAAAAAACTGCCACTAATGTGCACTAGTAAAAGACAAGCCAGCCTAGTACTTACAGAGTACTTTTTTCTTGCTTTCCTGAAGACATTCATCCATCTCTGATTCCTTGACTTTTCCTCCTCGATGATAAATATTGTTACCATTCAGAAATTTCTATCATGTTCCATTGTTCCATCTTAGTAAAGGATGCAAATCTGGTTCTGAACTCTCTGTAGCCTACTCCTTGTCCAGCAAGCTGTCTCTGTTCTTTTTTTCAAAGCAATCTGGTAGTCCAGCTTCTTTATTTCCTCCTTTTTCTCTGGCCACTTCTTAGCTCCTTGGCCTGTGTGTGTGTGTGTGTGTGTGTGTGTGTGTGTGTGTGTGTGTGTGTGTGTGTGTGTGTGTGTGTGTGTGTGCGCGCGCGCGCGTGCACACATATGTGCCAATATTAAGGCTTGAACTCGAGGCCTGGGCACTGTCCCTTAGCTTTATCACTCAAGACTGGCATTCTACCACTTGAGCCATAGCTCCATTTCTGGCTTTTTGGTGATTAAAGAGAAGAGTCTCACAGTCTTTTCCTCCCTGAGCAGGCTTTGAACTGTAATCCTCAGATCTCAGCCTCCCAAGTAGGTAGGATTATAATCATGAGCCACCAGTGCCAGCTCCCTGGTTGGTTTTTTGTTTTTGTTTTTTCCCCCAGTCTTCTAAGGCTTGGACTCAGGGCCTGAGCTCTGTCCTTGAGCCTCTCTGTGCTCGAGACTAGTGCTCTACCACTTTAGCCACAGTCACCCTTCCAGGTTTATCTGAGTAGTTAATTGGAGATAAGAGTCTCATGGACTTTCCTGCCCAGGCTGGCTTTGAACTGCCATCTTCAGATCTCAGCCTCCTGAGTAGCTAGGATTACAGGCGTGAGCCACTGGGGCTTGGCATCTTTTTTTTTTTTTTCAATTACCTTCTCTTCCAACTTCCCTACACTATAGGAAAGGTAAAAATGTCAGCTTCTTCTGTGTGCTGGAAGAGAAAGAGATGGGTTTGGGAAAGTTGCAGGTTTCTTCCTTACCCATTTCAATCCGAGAACTTAGTCCTTTAGTCTCTTTTTCTCTCTAGTAATTCAGTCATCAACAACTCCTAGGTCTGTATGTTTTCTGGAATGCAGACAGATATTGACATATTTCCTGGAATTCTATGTTGCTCATTTTGTGCATTATTGTCAGATACCTCCCTAATGCCAACCCCGGGGTTGTGCCAGGACCAGGCCTGTAAAGAGGAATGCTAACCCTCATGCTAGAAGATTCTGAGTGCTGATAATGAACGTGCCAGCCATCCGGGCCTGGAGTGCGCATATCTTCTATTATCTCAAATACCACAAGGCAGGGCAGCGTCTAGGTTATGAATTCAACCCACTCCTGCTGGTCTTATCTCTGGTTTTCTTGGCTTTGGCTTCACGATCTCAAGCTAGGCGTGGATTCTGAGCTATTTGCTGTCTGCGTTTCTGCATGTCTTGTGGTGCGTTGGGAGACCTGGCCAGCGGCCCTCAGCACCCTTCTCCAGATGTTTTCTTTAGGAGGAATTAGGACACCTTCCCAGGCCCGGCCCGAATGCTGCACTGGGGGCTGTGTAGGCTGGGATGAGCCTGGACCACTGGGGAATCCCCGAGGCCTGGGGGTCCAGCCTGGCACTGGGGTGTCATCTCTGACTCACTTCCTCTCTCTCAGTACATGTGCTTAATCACACACCACAGTTTGGGCATCAGTCCTCTCCTGATAATGCCCTGGGTCTTCCACTCCACGAGGACTTCTCTTCAACACGGACTCTTCTGTCAGTCCCACCATGGAGCGGCCGTCAACCTGCCTGCTGTTCCTGACCCTCTTACTTTAATTTTCTTGTACACTTTGGTCTCGGTGCTGCTTCTGTTCTCCCCATAGAACATCTAAAGAAAAATCAGCTGGGTTTTTCCTTCTCATTCTTCCATCTCCATACTTTCTTCTGCAGCCCCAAGACCTTTGCATGTCCAGAACCTGACCACCACTCACCACATAGTGCGTGCAGTGGCTACGCTCTGTGTCTTTCAGGGAAGTTCTCGAGTATTGCTCCCAGGGCTCCTCAGGTGACCTTGACGCTCCATTTTCTCCTCCTGCTCTTACCTGTGGTTTGGTGTTTTGGGGTTTTTTTACTGTATTTTTTTTTGTCTTTCCTTTTTTGGTACTGAGGATCAAACCCAGGACATGGCACTTGCTAGGCAAGCACTTTACCACCAAGCTACCTCCCAACCCCTGTTCTTGTCTTTGGCTTTGAACCTTTGAACTTGATCTGTCACTGATGCTGTCTAGAGGCTTGGGGTTCTTTCTCTTCACCAAATAAAGAATTATGAGACCAGAAAGGTTCGAAAGGCCAGAAAGACAGCTAGAGACAGCAGAAGAGAGAGGGAATAAGAAGTCAGAGGAGTTTCTTGGCCAGCCACTGGCGGGTTGGTGTACCCTCAGCCAGGACCCCCTGCTGGTAGAGCCTGGTCAGGTCATGTTGCATGAGATCTTGCCCGCCCACCTCCCAGGCAGGAAGAGGAGCAGAGGACAGACTTCTCAAGGCAAGACAGTGAGAAGGGAACCCAAAAATTGGTGTTTGTGAATTCCCCCTTTTAGGTTGCTTTGGGGCCAGGTTTATCTGTCCAGGTATCTGGTTGGATTATCGTCCACCCTTCCCAAGGGGCAGAGCACCCTGGTCTGCTCTAGGGTTGTCTCCATGGGGGCCACAATCTCTCCCTACCCACCTAGTTTTTTCTCTAACTCTCTCTCATCACTAATGTGTGACTCTAGAATCAGACACACCTGGTATTCAGCTCAGACCCGCCTCTCTTGCAGGGTTCATCGGGAGAAAGTGATTTAATGAGGGTCTCATACCTTTGGATTCATTCCCTCATGACTTCCCCAGTACTAATGAATTCTTTCATTCCTGTGCATATTTACCCATGTTACCTTTTCTGTGCTCATTCATGAAACAACTACTTAACAAGCTTCTGCCATGAGCTGAGTGACATTGATGTATTTGGGATATACTCAGGGACAAAGAAAGATCTGAAATTTGCAAAGCCCCGTGAGGTACGCTGCGTACCGATGGCATTCTGGTAAGAAGGTAATAAGACAGGCAGTCTGTTTCTATGATGTGCAGAGAGGCTCATGCAAGACCAGACCTGGGGCCTGCAGGAGAGCTTTTGCTTGCATCCAATTCAGCTCACTTACAACAAGCATTTCCAACTCCCTACCCAGCTTCTCCAGCCGCCACCACCTCTCGCCAACAGCCGATCTGTTGAGGCTGGATGTTTAAACAGAGTCAGTCTTAGAAGCTCAAAAATCTGTGTCTTGCAGTGGCGAGAGTGGAGCGGGCAAAACGGAAAGCACCAAGTTGATCCTCAAGTTTCTCTCGGCCATCAGCCAACAGTCTTTGGACTTGTCCTTAAAGGAGAAGACACCCTGCGTTGAACAGGCGATTCTTGAAAGCAGGTATTTCATTTACCAACTTCCTCATTCCCAGCCAATAGGATTCACTTTTCTTCCTGGCATGGGATCATTAAAATTGGTTACCTATTAGTCTAGTTAAAGTTTAGTCTAGTTTTTCTTGGATATAATTCCTTTGTAATGATTTTGAAGTACACCTAGTGTTTTCTATTAACCTCAGTCACAACTGTTTCTGGGTGAAGACGCTCCTGACCCTTTCCATTGGGTCACTTAGGAATGGTGACTGACTGGTGCTGAATAGTGAGCTATCGCCTCTCTCCTCCTGGGACCTTGACTCCAGCAGCCCACGTTTCTAAAGGACTGGGTTAGATGGGGCACAAGAGTAGGAGTTTGTGTAAAGAACAAAGTTGACCTACAGCCTGTTATCAGCTGAAGCTTCTACCCCCAACTGCTGTGGGAGGGAGGACTGAGCATTCAGAGGGTGGAGGAGGGTTGGGTCAGCATTCAGCCCTGGAGGGCTCCCTATGAGCAGAGTGGCTAGCCCTGAGTCACCATTTGTGATGCCTCGTGTCTAGTTTGGGCCTTATGAAGTTTTAGAACCAGTAGGAACATTACTGATACTTATTACTCAGCCAGTTATTCCAGACATTGGCAAATTACAGCCGGAAGTCCATGTTTTTTCCTTGCTTTTTCTTTTTAAAAGCAAGCATTGCAACGTCTTCCTTTTCTTTCTGGTATAGGTAAGGTATGGGTAATGGAGCTTGAACCCGGGGCTTGCTGTCCCGTAGATTTTTTTTTAATTTTTTTTATTGTAAAGATACTGTACAGAGAGGTTACAGTAACATGAGTAAGGGCATGAGTACATTTCCTATCAAGCATTGTTACCCCCTTAGATTTTTTTACTTCAGGCTGACACTCTGCCATTTGAGCCACACCTCTGCTTCTAGTTCATTGGTGATAAATCTCATAGACTTTCCTGCCTGGGCTGGCTTTGAATTACAATCCTCAGATTTCTGCCTCCTGAGTAGCTAAGATTACAGATGTGAGCCACCAGTGCCTGGATGCATTTTGAAACACTTAATTTTAAAAATTGTAGTTGAGCACACATATCTTAAAATGGTAGCTGGTTTTCAGCACCCAGCTCAGTAGCATTAAGTTCATTCACATTATTGTACAACCCTCACCACTGTCTGTCTCCAGACATTTTCATCTCCCTCCAACAGCTTTTTTAAATTTTATTTTGTAAATGGTCTTTTTTGGGACCCAGCCACCCTCATTTGTATTGTTTCTAGCTACATTTTAGCTCTAGAGGCAGAACTAAGTGCTTGCGACAGAGACCACATGATCTGCAAAGCCTAAAACATTTATTAACTGGTCCCTTGTAGGAAAAAGTTCACCAGCCTCTGTGTTGCAATTAGAAAAGATCTAAAGAGTTCAATGGATTGCTTCCAGGATGTATAACCAATGGGCAATACCTGTTCTGGGACTTTTTCAGCTTCTAGAATTTGAGGGCAGGCTTTTCTGTTCAAGCCTGGGATCACATGCATCAGCCAAAGCTCACTTGTGCAGGGCCAAGCCCTTGTAGACCTGGGCTGTGTTCCCTCCTTCACCAGCACAACTAGTTGTACACTCCTTCAATCAGGTCAAAGCCATGTGAGCAAGTGTTTGGAAAATCTGGCTCCCTAGGTCCTTTCGGCTGCAGATTTTTCTTGCGTTCGTGTATTTTGGCATTTGTGAGGAATGCTTTTGCTGTCTTCCGATCTGATTAATACTCTCTGTTGCCCTCATTCCTTTCTCAGTCCCATCATGGAAGCTTTCGGCAACGCGAAGACAGTGTACAACAACAACTCCAGTCGCTTTGGGAAGTTTGTTCAGCTGAACATCTGTGAGAAGGGCAATATTCAGGGCGGAAGGATTGTAGATTGTATCCTGTTTCATTGATGTTGGTCAACAGCATTTGATTCTATCAGTGGGAACTGTTCTTATTTATTTATTTATTTTTGTTGGTCATGGGGCTTGAACTCTGAGCCTGAGCATTGTCCCTCAGCTCTTCAGCTCAAGGCTCTACACTGTTCTCATTTATTGTGGGGATTTAAGAATGGGAAACACTTCTTATACGGATTCTTGTTATTGCTTTAATAGTATTGTCCTTGGCCTATTGATTATTGTATCAGATAAAGAACCATTTTTCTTTTGGAAATCTTTAGCATGTTGGTCATCTGAACATATGGGTTCATCATCTTATGCATCCATATCCTATTGCAATAACACCATACCTGGCTTTGCATATTTCGTAAAGAGAAGAGGAGCTAGGCATAACATTTTGTACCATCCAGCTTGAACTGCAAGATACTGAAGCTTTTTTAAAAAGTAAAGACATTTGTAGCCAGGCACACCAGTGGCTCACGCCTGTAATCCTAGCTACTCAAGAGGCTGAGATCTCAGGAACTCCATTTGAAGCCAGCCTAGGCAGATAAGTCCCCATGAGACTTTTATCTCTAACCACTCAAAAACCAGAAATGGGTCTGTGGCTCAAAGTGGTAGAGCACTACCCTTGAGCTAAAGAGTTCAAGGACAGCACCCAGGCCCTGAGTTCAAGCCCCATAAACCAAAAAAAAAAGTGACATTAATTTCAGCTCACAATTTTAGAGGCTAGAAGTCCAGCAGATTTGGCCACTAATGTGGCCAACTCCATCATTGAATCGCAGATGACATCATGGAGGGGACTGTAAGGGACAGAGGTCAGATGACATCACCAGAAGTGAGAGAGAGCGAGAATATCAAGACAGCTAAATTGATTTTAATCAACCCATTCTCTAAACAAGCTTTTATCCCTTTTCAAGACAGTGACATACCCCCATGAACTAATTCCCACTAGACCTCAGCTCTTTTTTAAATATAATTGTATTGTTATTATTAAGCTGTTGTACAGAGGGGTTACCATTTCATAAGTCAGATAATGAGTCCATTTCTGTTTTGGACAATGTCGCCCCTTCCTTTGCTCTCCCCTAGTTTCCCCTTCCCATCCCTGTGCACAAGTTACATGGTTCATTCTCCACATTGTGTACTCTGAATAATAGCATGATTGTGTTTATTCACACTTCCTCCCTCCTCTGTTTCCTCCCTTTTCCCTCCTTCTCCCCCACTCCTGCAAAAAAGACAAACACCACCAACAACAAAACCATGTTTCCATTTCCTGGAATTTATTTAGGTAAATAGTATTTTAAATGTTCAGAGGAGTTACACCTTTGTGTTCCTCTCCTACGAGTATCCTCCCTTAGTCTGGCTGTGTGTGAATGCCTAGAGAATCCTGTGTAGTTATATTTTAGCTCTAACTTCCACATGCGAGAGAGAAAACATGTGCCATTAGTCTCTCTCAGCTTGGCTTACCTCATTTAACATGATTTGTTCTAATGGATGAGTAAACTTCCATTGTGTATATGTACCACATTTTACTGATTCACTCATGTATTGAATGGCATCTGCAGACCCCAACTCTAAAGGGTTCCACCACCTCCCAAAGCTTCTCCACACTGGGGACCAAGGCTCAGCACGTGTACCTTTGGGCATCCCCTCAAACCAAGTCATTACATTCAGATATTTGCTTGAACTCAGTTCTCCCAAATAGTGGTGCTGAGCTGAGAGTACTCTTGACAGGTCTGGAATTGTATTGGGGTCAGGAGATCTTTGCTCTGTGCTTGTCTTGGACACTGGGTGTTTCATTGTCAGAGATGCTGGATGCTATAATTCAGGGGACAATGTAGGATAAGAAACTAAAACACCAGTTCAGCTTTCCCCATCTTCCTTTTGTTCCTTGACTTGACCTTGCTTTTCACATGAAGATTTATTAGAAAAAGTAAGTAAACACGATTCAATTCATATTTCCCCACAGTAATAGTTTGCAGCCATTCAGTAATTGGAATGAATTAAGCAGAGGAATCCTCCCTGAATATAAATTTGGTTTCTCTCCACAGAATCGAGTAGTGAGGCAAAATCCTGGGGAAAGAAATTATCACATATTCTACGCACTGCTGGCAGGGCTGGAACATGAAGAGAAAGGTGAGACAGTGCACAGACCAGAGAAATCCAGGCCAGCAACTCATGTCCTATTTAGAGCATGATGCTGTGGACAACCGCAAACCCATTTTAGGACCAAAGAATCTAGGGGAAAGACTTGCCAAAAAGAGAAATTTTGACTCTGGGGGTTATTTTGGAGTCTTGGTACATTTTTAACATAGAAAGATAATTTGTGAAAATATGTATCAAATCTAGGTTTTCTTTTTTAATCATATCTAAGTAAAATTAATTCCTAAATGTTGGAGGGTTTTTGTGTGTATGTGGGGCTTGAACTCAGCCTTGCACTCTGGCTTGGTGGTTTTTCTTGATGATGTTGTTGTTGCTTAAAGCTGGCTCTGTACCTTTTGAGCCACAGCTTCACTTCAGCTGTTTCTGTTTAATTGTAGATAAGAATCTTTTGGGTTTATCTGCCTAGGCTGCTTTTGAACCATGATCCTTAGATCTCAGCCTCCTCCTGAGCTCCTGAGTAGCTAGGATTACAGGCTTGAGCCACCTGGCTTTTTTTCCTTCTTCCTCTTTTAATTTTAACTATCTGCAACGCTTGAGATCACTTGCCTCCTGGCTCACTGCTGGTGCACCACTACTTCAGCCACACCTTCAGCCTGGCTTTTTACTGGTTAACTACATGTGAAGTTTCATAGATTTTTCTGTCTCAGACTGGCTTCAAACCTCAGTCTTCCAGGTCTCAGTCTCCTGAATAGTTAGGATTTGGGGATTGAGCCTGCTTAAATGTTTGATTTTTTTTTTTTTTTTTTTTTTT